GGGCAGCCCAAGGTGGCCGCGCGCCTCCCCCCTCCCCTAGTCCTATTAGGACTAGGAGAGGTGGCCGCCCCCCCCCTCTCTCTTTCCCCCTCGGGGAATCCTAGTCCAACTAGGATTTGGGGGGGGAGTCCTACTCCCGGTAGGAGTAGGGCTCCTCCTGCGCCCTCCTCCTGGCCGGTGCCCCCCTCCCCCTTGGCTCCTTTATATACGGAGGCAGGGGGCACCTCTAGACACACAAGTTGATCCTTGAGATCGTTCCTTAGCCGTGTGCGGTGCCCCCAGCCACCATATTCCACCTCGATCATATTGTTGCGGTGCTTGGGCGAAGCCCTACGATGGTAGAACATCAAGATCGTCACCACGTCGTCGTGCTGACGAAACTCCTCCCCGACGCTTTGCTGGATCGGAGCCCGGGGATCGTCATCGAGCTATACGTGTGCTAAGAACTCGGAGGTGCCGGAGTAACGATGCTTGGATCGGTCGGATCAGGAAGACGTACGACTACTTCCTCTACGTTGCGTCAACGCTTCTGCAGTCGGTCTGCGTGGGTACGTAGACAACACTCTCCCCTCTCGTTGCTATGCATCACCATGATCTTGCGTGTGCGTAGGAAATTTTTTGAAATTACTGCGTTCCCCAACAACCGCGTGTGTAACCGTGATGGTCTCTTCTCGGCGGAGTCCGGGAAGTGAACACGGTGTTGGAGTAATGCTTGACGTAGGTTGTTCTAGGATCACTTCTTGATCATAGTTTCTCAACCGTGCTTTGCCTTCTCCTCTCGCTCTCTTTTGCGTATGTTAGCCACCATATATGCTAGTCGCTTGCTGCAGCTCCACCTCATACCTTTACCTTACCTATAAGCTTAAATAGTCTTGATCGCGAGGGTGTGAGATTGCTGAGTCCCCGTGACTCACAGATACTTCCAAAACCAGTTTGCAGGTGCCGATGTTACCGAGCAGGTGACGCAACCGAGCTCAAGGAGGATCTCGATGAAGATCTTGTCCTTTGTGTTGTTTCGTTTCAGTCGATCAGTAGTGGAGCCCAGTTGGGACGATCGGGGATCTGTGTAGCATTTGGGGTAGTCTTCTTTCATTTTGGTTCCGTAGTCGGACCTTGATTGTATCTGGATGATGTAATGCTTTATTCATGTATTGTGTGAAGTGGCGATTGTAAGCCAACTATGTATCTCTTTCCCTTATGTATTACATGGGTTGTGTGAAGATTACCTCACTTGTGACATTGCTTTCAATGCGGTTATGCCTCTAAGTCGTGCTTCAACATGTAGGAGATATAGCCGCATCGAGGGCGTTACGGAGAGTTTCGTCAGCACGACGACGTGGTGATGATGTTGATGCAACTACCGTCGCAGGGATTCGCCTAAGCATCGCTACGATATAACGGAGGTGGATTATGGTGGAGGGGGGCACCGCACACGGCTAAGAGATCAACAGATCAATTGTTGTGTCTCCAAGGGGTGCCCCCTCCCCGTATATAAAGGAGGGAGAGGAGGAGGGGGTGGCCAAGGAGGAGGAGGTGCGCCCAAGGGGGGCAATCCTACTCCAAGTGGGATTCCCCCCTCTTTCCTAGTCCTAGTAGGAGAGGGGAAGGAAGGGGAGGAGAAGAAGAAGGAAAGGGGGGCCGACCCCCTAGTCCAATTCAGTTTGGGATAGGGGGCCCGCGCGCCCCTAGCTGGCCGCCTCTCCTCTTCCTCCACTTGGGCCCATAAGGCCCAATAATCCCCCGGGAGGTTCCGGTAACCTCCCGGTTCTCCGGTATTTATCCGATAACCCCCGGAACTCATCCGGTGTCCGAATATAACCTTCCAATATATTGATCTTTACGTCTCGACCATTTCGAGACTCCTCGTCATGTCCGTGATCACATCCGGGACTCCGAACTACCTACGGTACATCAAAACACAAAAACACATACTACCGATCGTCACAGAACTTTAAGCGTGCGTACCCTATGGATTTGAGAACTATGTAGACATGACCGAGACACGTCTCCGGTCAATAAGCAATAGCGGAACCTGGATGCTCATATTGGTTCCTACATATTCTATGAAGATCTTTATCGGTCAAACCGCATAACAACATACGTTGTTCCCTTTGTCATCGGTATGTTACTTGCCCGAGATTAGATCGTTGGTATCTCAATACCTAGTTCAATCTCGTTACTGGCAAGTCTCTTTACTCATTCCGTAATGCAACATACCGCAACTAACTCATTAGTCACATTGCTTGCAAGGCTTATAGTGATGTGCATTACCGAGAGGGCCCAGAGATACCTCTCCGACAATCGGAGTGACAAATCCTAATCTTGATCTATGCCAACTCAACAAGTACCATCGGAGACACCTGTAGAGCACCTTTATACTCACCCAGTTATGTTGTGACATTTGGTAGCACACAAAGTGTTCCTGCGGTAATCGGGAGTTGCATAATCTCATAGTCATAGGAACATGTATAAGTCATGAAGAAAGCAATAGCAGTAAACTAAAACGATGAAGTGCTAAGCTAACGGGAATGGGTCAAGTCAATCACATCATTCTTCTAATGATGTGATCCCGTTTATCAAATGATAACTCATGTCTATGGTTAGGAAATATAACCATGTTTGATCAACGAGCTAGTCTAGTAGAGGCATACTAGTGACACTATGTTTGTCTACGTATTCACACATGTATTATGTTTCCGGTTAATATAATTCTAGCATGAATAATAAACATTTATCATGAAATAGGGAAATAAATAATAACTTTATTATTGCCTCTAGGGCATATTTCCTTTAGACCCTCCCCAAGAAGAGCTCGCGGCAATCACTGCGATAGTACCAGCTTGGCTGGAGGCCGTCCAACAAGGCTACAGTGATGATCCTACAACACAACGCCTATTGGCAACACTCACCACTAAACAAGGACCCCCGGGATGGATTTACCTTGCAAGAGGGCATCATCCAGCAGCACAGACGCATTTGGCTGGGTGACAATGTGAAACTGCAAAAGTAGGTGCTCGCTGCTTTGCACACCGATGCCATTTGTGGCCACTCGGGGTTCAACGCGACTTACCGACAAGTGTGTCGCCTGTTTACATGGTCAGGGATCAAGCATCATGTCAAGCTCTTCATGGAGGCTTGTGAAACATACAAGCAAGCTAAGCCGGAAACAGGTATGTTATCCTGGTCTCTTGGAACCATTTCCCGTGCCCAACCAAGCATGGCAAATAATCACCATGGACTTCATCGAAGGCGTGCCCCGCTCCTCCGGCTACAACGATCTTGGTGGTAGTGGACAAGTTCACGCGGTATGCCCATTTCATTGCTCTATCCCACCCCTTCATGGCATTCTAGGTGGCATAGGCATTTGTGGCGAACATCTACAAGCTGCACGGTCTGCCCGAGTCAATTGTCTCAGACTGTGACCCAATCTTCACCAGCATGTTGTGGAGAGAACTGTTCTGGCTCACCCACACCAAGCTTTGGATGAGTACAACACATCACCTACAGATTGACGGAAAAATCGAACGAGTGTACCAATGCCTAAAAACATTTCTTCGCTGCTTCGTCCACGCATGTCCGACTAAATGGTGTGCCTGACTGGCCCTCACAGAATTTTGGTATAACACATCGCCTCATGCAGCTTTGGGCACAACGCCATTCAAAGTGCTTTACGGACACGCACTGCGGCACTTCAACATCGGTGACCTGGTGGCTGGCGCATCCCCTGACTTGGCAGAGTGGCTCCAAGATCGAGCTCAAATGGTGGCGGTCATACGACAACATCTGCTTCGCATGCGTCAGTACATGAAGGACTCCGCCGACAAGCACCGATCGGACCGTGTCTTCGCTGTCAACGACTGGGTTTTCCTCAAGGCCCAACCCTACATTCAGCGCTCGGTGACTACCCGCACCAACCAGAAGCTCGCCTTCCGCTATTTTGGGTCGTATCAAGTGCTTCAACACATTGGCGCTGCGATGTACAAGCTCAATCTCCCGGACTTCAGCGCGGTGCACTCCATCTTCCACGTGTCCCAGCTTCGACAAGCTCTTCGTCCGACGGAACTGGTGCAAGAGCAACTTCTGGCAGCGGCAGCGGCAAGCCCTACAATGGAAGAAGTACTAGAGAAACGAGTGGTTCAACATGGCAATGCGATGGTGCCTCAAGGTCTGGTCCGTTGGACTCACCAACCGCCGGAGTTCGCCACCTGGGAGGATCGCGCCGAGCTCCAGCATCACTTCCCGAAAGCTCCAGCTTGGGGCCAAACTATGTCTCGAGGGGGAGGGTATGTTACGCCCTTTGTCCATCCGTCCCACCTGCAGAGCCATCCAAGGGACGGCCAACAACTACCCCTACTGGGCTAGAACGACAGCCCCGTCCACCCCAGCCCGATAGTGTCTGGGACACGACCCGACTGGTTAAGAGGAAACAGACCCCTCCTGGGTGAGGTGACGAGAATGTACTAGGTTATAGGCGGCGGCTCTCTCCTACCGATCTCCTTTCCTCTTCCTCTCGAACCCGAGAATTTGACTGAGATTGTATCACAGACTTGTATCCAGTGATTAATCCTAGCGGGAGCATAACATTTTATTTTGTAGTTAATTCACTGACAATATGCGATGGTTGGTATAGCCATTTTTGTACCACAGATTGTGCAACAAAAAGTTTCTACGCCGGTTTGCTCATTTACACATTTATGTTTGTGGCTTACTCCTAAACGTTCAGATGGGGAATGTGATACGCAGAAATGACAATGTTTGTTACTGTTTGTTCCACAGCCTGGCCAAACACATGCGTGCAAACTAGCATCAACAAAAAGGTTAAAACAGTCTAACAGAAGTTAGGTGAACAGGGATCCAAAGCCATGCTTTTAATTTGTAGTAACGTGGTAGCAAGGCACGAAACATAAGCACACGGCCTCAATCGCACAACAATAAACCCCAAAAGAAAACCAAAACTAAGCCAAGGGGAAAAGAAAAGGCCTTGCGCGCGCGCGTGTGAGATGGCGAGAGGTAAGCCCCACGCAGCAGTCGGTGGACCCGACCCTCACACGCTCCACGACGCCGCTGGGCTGCGTGAGCTTGCCCCCGCCCCCCATCCCCTCTCTCTTTCCTCTCCCCTTTTCTCCTGCTCCGGCCTGTATATATAATCCCCATCTTTTATATATTTCCATGGTGCGCATAGGCCTGGGAAAGAGCAGAGGCAAGATTTCAGCAATTAATTTTATAGAGCGAGCGAGAGGGGGGCATATAAGAGCGTGGGAGGGAAGAGATAGATAGATAGAGAAAGAAAAGTATGACAAGGAGATGAAAGAAATGAGACAACAACCCTCTTAGCCTCCTCCCCGGCCCTCTCCTCCGCCCCCTCTCCTCCACTTCTATCCCCTCGGTTTCAAGCAAGAGACGAAGCTAGCAGGGAGAGAGTGAGGTATCCCATGTTTTTTTCCTCCTCTAGTTCCTTGTTGCGTTCCTTTCCAAATTTTTAAATATCTGTATGTATGTGAGTTCTGCGGGTGTGGGTGTTTGCGAGCTTTTGTTCGTATGCCTTCTCTCTCTTTTTTTACTTTGTTTTGAGTGCAACTGTTTGTTTGTTTGGATTTCCCTGTCCACTTTGTTCTTTTGTTAATCTCGGAAGGGTCCTAAGCGGCCGAGGCCTTGGAGTTTTTCTCGGCTTCTTGTCGATTTGTTTGTTGTTTCAGATCGGTTCCAAGGTATATGAGATAGGTATAGCCATCACGCGCTCAGGGAATTTTGGGGCCTTTCCATCTGCTCCCTCTTCCTCACAACCAGTTCTGCCTCTTTCGTCCTCGTCGTTCTCCTCCTTAATTTGTCTTGATAGCTCGGGCCTCGGGGAGCAAGAGTCTTCCAGATCTCTCTCTCATGGTCGCTTGCTTGCATGCGCTGTGCAGTGTCAGTTTTTACTCTCTTAATTGCGACGTCTCACATGGAAAATCTTGCTTTGTTTCAGCGAAGGGGGGAAGAAGAAGGAGCACTGCCAATCCAAGAACAATCCGGAGTTGGTGTGACGACCTAGGTTGGGAGCCGATGGCATCGAATTCATCGGCAGCGGCGGCGGCGGCGTTCTTCGGGATGAGGGATGGGGACCAGCAAGACCAGATGAAGCCGCTGATATCACAGCAGCAGCAGCAGCAGCACCACCACCAGCAGCAGCACCAGCTGGCAGCGGTGGCACTTTCCGGCGCGGGGAGCGCGGCGCCTGCCGCGTCCAGCCAGGGCGCTCCGGCGGCGGCACCACCGGCCAAGAAGAAGAGGACTCTACCCGGTAATCTAATCGTGGACCCTGGTTAATATTTCCAGTCATGCATGCTAACTGCAAGGTCTTGTCTGGACTGATTGGCGTCTTATCGTTTGGTTCCTGACAGTGCAAGCATCTTCTCTCACATGCGCACACTCGGGGTTTTCTCTCTCTATTTTTCAGTATCTTCTCTTTTATTTACTCAGTTACTTCCTGCTTGGTTTCTTGCTCGGTAGTGAATTAATACTTGGTAGTACTGCTGGAGAATTGCACGTTTTTTTGTGTGTAGTAACTGACGTGTGTGTAATTGAGCGACAGTCTGTTCTTGCTACCACACACGCCTTAATTTCACTCCCTAATTTCCCAGCTTGTACTCTTTTACTGCAACTCCTTAATTTCTTCTCATCTATCCCTGGTTCAGTGGATCCGTTCCCCTATACTCAGGGTCTACTTCAATTCGAAGTTTGCTGTAGCCTCGAGGAAGATACTTGGCCTTCAATTCGCTCCTTGCTAATCAATACGAGTTCATTTAAAGCTCTGTACTATCACCTGAAAGGAGGACAATTAATTCAGGTGACGAACAGGAACTAGGGTACTTTACTCGTGGCTCTAGATCGAGTAGGCTCCTCCTTGTCCCGGCCGGTTTCTTCTTCTTCCAAAGTCTCGTGTTCTCATCAGATCAGTCGGTTCCGGAATTTCTAACACAATTTTTTTAGTTTTTATTTATCTTTGGTAGGAAAGAAGAACCGTATACCATACTGGTTGGATAGTTCTTTTTTTTTTCTTGCTTCAAGATTCCATGTATACATGAGCTGTCATCCTCTCCACTGGAGCACATTCAATTCTTTTCCCCAATTATGAGGTGCAAGCAGGAGCGAGGGCACAATCCATGACAATTCCTTTGTTCTCTATATCACTTCCTGCAAACTTCTTTCTTCCCCAAAATCTCATGCAAATATTCTCTTCTCCGTGCTCTAGTTTGTCTCTACTCTCTAGCTCACCGGCCCCCACCCAGGGAAGTAAGCAACGATATCTTCTCAAATTAATCCGTGATTTCTACTAGCTCCAATGGGATTATTCACTCATTGATCATGTGCGAGCGCCTCACAGATAAGGAAAATTAACACTCCAACAATAAGAAATCGCCCACGGCATACAATTAATAAGACCCTTGCTCAAATATTTGCTCTTCTAGAAGCATATATATCCTTCCTACCTGTCCAAGCATGGAACGCCCTAAATATATGGCCACCCATTCTTAATTCCAAGCATTTTATTGATTGTCTTATGCATGACGTATCGAGTCATCAATTGGGATACCTTTTTTGTATGCAAAGCAAATTGTCATATTTGTATATATGCACTGTATTTGATGATGAGATGCATGGTGGAATTGGTTGCAGACCCGGACGCGGAGGTGATCGCGCTGTCGCCCAAGACGCTGATGGCGACGAACCGGTTCGTGTGCGAGGTGTGCAACAAGGGGTTCCAGCGGGAGCAGAACCTGCAGCTGCACCGCCGCGGCCACAACCTGCCGTGGAAGCTGAAGCAGAAGAACCCGAACCAGGTGCAGCGCCGGCGCGTGTACCTGTGCCCGGAGCCGACGTGCGTCCACCACGACCCGTCCCGCGCCCTGGGCGACCTCACCGGCATCAAGAAGCACTTCTGCCGCAAGCACGGCGAGAAGAAGTGGAAGTGCGACAAGTGCTCCAAGCGCTACGCCGTGCAGTCCGACTGGAAGGCGCACTCCAAGATCTGCGGCACCCGCGAGTACCGCTGCGACTGCGGCACCCTCTTCTCACGGTAACTTACCAGCCACCGCTCCCTACCCAGCTTCTTCTACCTATATACTGTCTTCTGCATTTCCACCACTACGATATCTACATAGATAGAATGTACGTGAAATCGATCAGGCCTCGCTGCATGCATGGCGCTGCGTGTATACCGTAATGGGCATTGCTTTGGTTTAGGGTTAGGGTTTTGATCGGGCTTGTGTCGATGTCGATCGACATTGTTGTTGTCCGAGCTCCTGCTTCCTTCCTTCTCTGGCTAGCCTGCTGAGAAGGAAAGCAATAGAGACGGCCGCGGGCGACGAAGGTGAGTGAGAGAGAGGGGCGCACAGTGAAACTGCTCGCACGTGAAATGGGCTGGAATATTTTGAGTCCTTTGGCACTGCCCAGAAGCCATCCTTTCCCTTTCCTAGCTTGCTGCCTTGGGAAGATGGAACCAGAAACAAGCTCTCTCTCCTCTCTCTAGCCAGACACACGCTACAGACTAAGACATCTGTTACACTGTCCTGTAGACCCGCATTCCTCCTGGTCCAACTCGTCAGCAGCTTGCAGGCTTTCTCTTTTACCCTCTCTCTTCCATAGCTTTCTCTCTCTACTGCCTCGCTTGGCTGCCATGTAGGAGTAGGCAGCTAAACTTCTCATGTGAGTTGGCTGGCCGGCTAAGATGTGGCAGAGCCGTTCGTTGGCCGTGGCAGCGACCAGCGAGAGAGGCCCACGCCTTTTCATGGATGCGTCGCAATGTCCATCCCATGTCTCATCGCCCATGCATCGCCAGCCTAGTTGCAAGTGTAACTTGAGGAACTGTTCATTCATTGATGGACTTAAGCTGCATTCATTCATTCATTCAAGTGGTCACTCCTCTCTTTCATGTTTTGGCATAAAATTCTCCAATGGGGAGTTAGCACTTAGGGAAACACCAACAGGAGTTGCATTCATGAGGAATGGAGTGTCGTCTCTTTTTTCACTGTTCCTGCAAGGGAAGAGACCTGATGATATAAAAAAAAGGAAACAATTCGGCGCTTCTTCTCTGAGCGTAAATCTATAGTGCATGTCTTTTTTTTACCAAGTACAGAAGCCATAGTATGTTCCATATGCATCCATATGATAATTTTTACACATTCAACTGTAGAGGCGGAGTACACTAAGTACGAATAATTGGCATTATTTGTTTTGAGCTCCTTGATTTGGGGGGTAGTAGGCTTTTTTAAGTTTCACTGGCGCAGGCTTTTGCTTTTTGCTGTGTCAAGGCGCCTCGGGAGGCGAGCTTACCAGCCCCGCAAAGTTTTCTGCTCTACGCAGCTCCTTGGTGTGTGTGTTCGTGTGCATGACAATGTCTGATGTCTTTGTCTGGAAGCCTTTCTCCTTTGAAGCTTCCTACTAGTGGGAACCTATGAGAGGCGTAGCATGGCAAGCTATGATGAGATTTCTCCTTTCCCCCGGCGCGGCCTCTCCCTTGATTGACACACATCGATTTCTGGGATCTTGGGCTTGCTTTGTGGTGCATGCATGCATGGATTCATACTATACCCAACACCTTTGACCCATGCTACCAGTTTCCTAATTTTAGCACTAGTCGATCTTTGGACAGCAAGGTGTGGTGGTACACAAGCGATAATAGTCAAACCCTATTCCTCCTTTGGAAACATATGTTACTTGAACAGAGATAAAAACCACGGCCACCACATTTGCAAGCTGTTTCTTTCTTTTACTGTGACATGGCTGGTGCACAAGGGGGAGATGCGCACCCTGTCGCTGTAGCAGCTATGGACACTGGGAATGGCACTGTTCAGATGCATGGGATACCAGCTACTACAAACACAACATTCAGTAGCACAGTCGGTCCGTCCTCGTCCCGTCCCGCGGCCCAGTTGCGCAGTGCTCACATGTCGATCAGAAAACAATATCTTAGCCCGAGATGCCGCTAGCTCGCCTCGGGGCGCGCGCCCCCTTCCAGCGTGTCATGCATGCGTCGTCGCCATGCAGCCCGGTGCAGGGCGCTGTTCGCTTTTCAGGCTTCTCAAGCTCTTCTCACATCAACTTTACTGTTCCCTTTTACTGCACGGCCCATGCATTGGCATGCGACGGCGCTGCCTGCGCTCTGACCTAAGTTGCAGATCGAGCAGAGACCATGGCAGTGTGGTGTGGTGTGAGAGCACATGACGACATGTGACTGATGGTGGTGGTGTGGTGTGCTGATGTTTATCGTGTTTCTGATTATTTTCTGTTGTGTTATTGTATGCAGGAGGGACAGCTTCATCACCCACAGGGCCTTCTGCGACGCCCTGGCGCAGGAGAGCGCCAGGCTGCCGCCGACGAGCCTGAGCAGCCTCACCAGCCACCTCTACGGGGCTACTAACGCTGGCAACATGGCGCTGAGCCTGTCCCAGGTGGGATCCCACCTCAACTCCACCCTGCAGCATGACGGTCACCACCACCACCCGTCCCCGGAGCTCCTGCGCCTCGGCGGAGCGGCTGGCGGAGGCAGCAGCAGCATCGCCGCGCGCCTCGACCACCTCCTGTCGCCCTCTGGCGCGTCAGCGTTCCGCCCGCCTCAGCAGCAGCCCCAGTCGGCCTTCTTCCTCAACGCGGCGCCGGGGCAGGATTTCGGGGACGAGGCGGGCAATGGGTCACACTCCTACCTGCAGTCCAAGCCGTTCCATGGCCTCATGCAGCTCCCAGACCTCCAGGGCAATGGTGCGGGAGGGCCCGCCTCTTCGGGCCATGGCCTCTTCAACCTGGGCTTCTTCTCCAACAATGGCAATAGCTCGGGGTCTAGTCATGAGCATGCAAGCCAGGGAATGATGAGCAACGACCAGTTCAGCGGCGGAGCTGGCGGCGGTGGCTCTGAGGTATCAGCAGCGGCGATTTTCGGCGGGAACTTTGTTGGTGGTGATCACATTTCGCAGGCTGGGATGTACAACGACCAGGCGCCCATGCTGCCTCAGATGTCTGCGACCGCACTGCTCCAGAAGGCGGCGCAGATGGGCGCGACCTCCAGCCCCAACGGCGCGGCGTCCATGTTCCGGGGCTTCGTGGGCTCTTCGCCGCACGGGCGACAGGGGACACCGCAGCAGCAGATGGACCAGAACGATGCGAACCTGAACGAGCTGATGAACTCTCTGGCTGCTGGCGGCGGCGTCAATGCCGCGGCGATGTTTGGCGGCGTTAACGGCGGTCCCGCCGGGATGTTTGATCCAAGGATGTGCGACATGGATCAGCACGAGGTGAAATTCAGCCAGGGAGGAGGTGGTGTTGGTGGCAACGGTGGTGGTGCTGGCGGCGGCGGCGGCGACATGACGCGGGACTTTCTTGGCGTGGGCGGAGGCGGCATCGTGCGCGGGATATCGACACCGAGAGGAGACCACCATCAGAGCAGCAGCGACATGAGTTCCTTGGAGGCCGAGATGAAGTCGGCTTCGTCCTTCAACGGAGGCCGGATGCCATGATCGACGGATCGATCAAGCTTACACAAGCGTAAGCTCCGATCTGTCGAGTGAGTCTGAGACTTGAAGCAACCTGGAATTAGCGCATGCATGCATGAGAGGAGTAAGGTTAGCGAGTTAGCAACTAAGTTGATCGCATGAGTAAGGTTACATGCATGGGATAAGGCTACCTAGCTAAGCTCTCCATGGCCTGAAGACTTGGAGTACCGTGAAAGAGAGGCGTCTTCTGAGACTAATTAAGTAATTAGCTAGTGCGAGTGAACGCTTGCATGTGATGACGACCCTAGCTTGGTCGTCGAGGAGTTTGGAGTCTGTGTTCCTGTTCTTGTCGTCTGTTTTCCTTCCCTGTAATTGGATGTTTGTTGGGTTAAATATAGTTCCCGAGATAGAAGAACCAATAAGACTATTTTGAAGTTTCAACAAAAAAAACCCTTTTATTAGTATTATTTTCTTATTCCCCTCCTCTTTTAGTAAAATAACTAGCACAAATGCCCGTGCGTTGCAACGGGAGACATTGTTATCTCCCTAATATGTCAGCGAGTTTCTTCAGTTTCATCAATGCAGTTTTCGTTGCGGGACTCATTCTCTTCTTCTCACATCACCATCCTCATTCCCTACATATTGATTCAAGCCGATTTATTGAGTCTATCAATAACTGGTAACTTCGGGACATCTATAAATTGATAGTTTTGATTCTAAGGAGGTGAGGTGGCACTATTTATTTAATGATAATAGGAAGAGCCGGCTTAGTGAGTTGTATTATTTTTCAGACACAATGCAACATAAGTTATGTAATTGCAATCGATTTACTCGGAGCATATGTTACAAAGAAAACACTAAGTGTTTTGTTCATTTTTCTTATGCCCAATCAAAAAATAAATTGTGACAGGCCATGGCCCAAAGCATGTCCAGCCCAGTTGGTTTCCAGCGCCTAGCACGAGCACGCACGCATGCGGCTCGGCGACCGACCCGGTGATTCCTATATGACGCTCGTTAACATCAAATCTTCGTAACTTCGCTGAAGAACGAGACTTGTCGCTTCCACTTGGGCTGGCCCACGATTCAGCTTCGCACCTATTTCTTTGTTGTTGTTTCTTCGTTGCGGCATCTTGGGAACCTTCCTGAAGGTTCCTGGCCGGTTTTGGGAACTTTGTAGAAGGTTTCCTGGATTGGTGTTTTCTGCTTTGTTTTCACAAGGTTTTATTCTATTTTCGATTTTTTCTTCCTTTTCTTTTTCTCTGCTTATTCCTTTTTTTCTTTCTTTTCATTTTTACTATTTCTTTTCTCTGTTTTACATTGTATAGTATATATAAAAGGTCCACCACATATTAAAAGATGTTCATCGTATATTAAAAAAGTATTCACCTTATATTATTAAAAAAATGTTATATGAAGAAATTGTTCACCTTGTATTTTAAACTTGTTCATCGTGTATTAAGAATTTGTTCAACGCATACTATGAAATGTTCATTGTGTATTTGGAACAATTGTTCAGCGTATATCACAGAAATGTTTAGTGCGTTTTTACAAATTGTTCAGCGTATATGACGGAAATGTTCAGTGCGTTTTTACAAATTGTTCAGTGTGTATTTGAATAATATTCATGGTATACTAATAAAATGTTCAATGAGTATTTTAAATTATTTTGTAAAAATTGTTCACAGTTAAAAAAAATTGTTCAGATTTTCGAAATTTAATCACAATTTTAGATTATTGTTCAAGTTTTTCGATTATTGTTCCTGTTTTCAAATTTTGTTCACGTTTCCAAAAAGTTCAGAATTCCCTTTTGTTCACCGTATTGAAGAAAAAATAATATTAGAAAATCTTCAATTTTTTGTCCAAGAAATGTTGAAAATGTTGAAAAAACTCGTATACTCAGTCCATAGCTTAGCTGGCTAGCACTGCTAGCTCTCGACCGACCCCTCAATGCTCTCGCGCTTGCATGCCACCCGTCGCCGTGATGCACTCTCTTTTTCTTATTATTTATTTATTGTTTTAGCCGTGATGCATGCACACATGAGCCCGTCTACGCCTCTCACGCGGGTGTCATGTGGCCCGACGCACCGCTGCGTGTCGCTCCATCAAACCTTATCTTCTCGGCCAACACAGCTCATCCTCGTCTCTCCCTCACTCCCTTCCCCCTTCCAGCTATGGATGCAGATGGCATCGAGGTCACCCCCGAGCCTCACGACTCCTCTTTCCTCCACGGGCTCAGCTCAGCGCCCGCCCCCAATCCCTCGCGCACGCCGCGACCCACACCGGCTCCAGCGCCTCTCCTTCTCCTTCTTCATGTCTCCTCCTCACCTTCTTAGCCTTTTTTTTCCTTGGTCATGCAGGGAGCACGCAAGGAGCCTCGCCATTGCAAACGGATCCGGCTGCCCTTGATCGTCCCCGACCTCGTCTATTCCTCCCGTCGCCGGATTTGACGTGCCTCCCGCCGGATCCGTCCGGATTTGCCATCGCCGCTCCTCCCCGTGGCCGGATTTGACGTGTCACCGCCGGATCCGCCTCCATCGGACCGGATCCGGCTGCCCTCGACCGTCCCCGGCCTCGTCTGCTCCTCCTGTCGAGGGATTTGATGCGCCGCCTCCGGATCTGCCTCCACCGGACCGGATCCGTCCGGATTCGACTGCCCTCGACCGTCTCCGTTCCCCTTCTAATTATCCTCACCTCTGTTTGCTGATTTTTGTGATCGCTTGTTGAATAATCGATGTGTACCTATATGAACTGGTGAGATTAGGTGTAATTAACCGATGTGGTATTAGGTTCGTTCTGATTTAGCCATGTACTGCGGGTTAATTAACAAATAAGGCAGGGGTGTTTATGTAAAATAATGCGACGGACGACCAGAAGCAATCGCTGCTTTATTAGTATATAATAATAATAATAAGGTAAGAAAAAATGCTGATGTTACGATGCAATTAATCATGCTAGATCATATTCAGAAGGTGATTTGGTGATTTTTTTCCTCCAGAAAAAGTATTGCTATGATATTTTTTGTGGAGTTTGTGTACAGTTAATAATCATGCCTAATGTAGATAGAAATGATACCATTTTGGAACATGGGGATTTTATATGGTTCATTTTCCCTATAAACGAGCAATATCTCCCAAATGCACGGACAAAATTCATGAACAATGTTGAATTACTAATTTAATCGCTGGAAAAGTTCTGATTTTCTTCTGATAGTATTTGTATAAAAATAACATTTAAAAAAAATATGAACCCGTTGTCCGGTCAAAAGGTGGTTTTGCTCCCGCATAAAGAGTTTGCTTTTTAATTTATTATTACAATCAAGTTTCTCGGTTACTAGGTTGTGGGTGCGGTATTGCAAATTCGGGAGATATTCTTGTGACTAATTTCCAAATATGCTTGCCCATGTGTTAATAGGTAGTTTTCATGATATAGAGGAAGGGGGAGAAGGGACATCCTGTTGAAAATCATCTGAGATTTGAGAGATATGAGTTAGTGATTGGAGGAAGCATGAATGGGTACTCAGCATGAAGGGGATTTGGGGAAATTCTGGATCGCTCCTCACCGATCCCTTCTCTCAGAGAACCACCTAATCATGCTAATACACCGACACTCCCTATCGAGACTGGGCGAATATATCATATAGAACCCGTCTTGCTACAAAACATGGAACATATTTTTTTTGTCTAGAAGTCCTTTTGTAAGGGCATATACTAGTTGACTTCCTGAAGCGACGTATGAAAGGCAAATTACTCCTCCATCAAACTTATTCTTGCTTTTCTACTGCGCTGGTCCTATGGGGGCTTTAACACGGGGACTTCTCAAATGTCTACTACAACAAGTTTTGCCTGGCTTCGGTGAGGGAGAGGCAATGACAACGGCGCTTTAGCGGTTGTAGTCATCGTTAGGTTGTCTACGGATTTGTATGTAATTTTCATTATTTCGGGTGTTCATTGCACATCCATAATTAAGATGAATAAATCGAAAGCTTTCTCGCAAAAAAAGTAACGATCAATCTCTACGTGCTTGGTTCGGTCGTACTGAACAAGGTTATCAGCAATGCCAGTAGCAGCTTTGTTGTCACAGTATAGACCGGAGGCCTGTACTTGTACAAACCGCAACTCTGCTAGGAGAATGTGCAACCATAATAACTCACAAAAAGCATGAGGAATGGATCCGAACTCAGCCTCTGTAGTGGATCAAGCCACACTACCCTTTGTATTTTTCTTCGCCATGAAACTAGGTTCGTTCCAACAGATGTGAAGTGACCAGACGCTGAGAGGCAGTTATCTAGAGAACCTGCACAATCGACATCAGTATATCATCCAACTTGCAAGTCCCCATAAGAGGTCTCTTCCTTAGCACCCCTTAAGATATCATAGGATCCTATTCACAACTTCCATATCTGCTGATTTTTCGTCATGGATATATTGGCTAACTGCACTCACAACACAAGCAATATCTGACGGGTATGAGACAACTATATCAACCTTCCAACTAGTCTCTGGAGCGTTTGATCAACTGGTGTCCCTGCATCAACATGTCTCACCTCAAAATGAGTGTTGATCTAATTTAATTGTCCTTATTCATTTATGTATTTTGTTGTTTTTTCATATGTTTGAGCAGAACACATATCTAACATTTTGTGACCATTAATATTTCATTCAGACATCAGTTTTTAAATTCACTTTAATCAGTAGTGGTAATTCAAAGTTAAAAATCCAAATTGATGAATTGTAAGTAACCATGTCCAACATGTAGCCTCCCCTGCTAAAATCCTACCTCAGAGCATTGGTTGATTTTGTCCCCCATTTTTATGCCACTTCAGATGCATACATTTAAGTTTCAATGTTTGCAGAATTGATTGTTTCATTTCATTCAGTCGTTGCATGATTAAGAAAAATACCATATTTTCAATCTCCCATACCATGGATGCATGATTAAGAAAGATACTGAGATTGTCCCAAAAAAAGAGTGATGATTCCCCTCCATGTTTTAAGAGGTAAAATAAGCTACATGGATTAGTTTGA